TCTTTCACGATTTTATTCCTCATCCATGCCCTTCGATTTTCGGTCCGCCAGTAAGGTCAGTGCAGTGGTGGGTCTCGCCTCGGGCCTCGAGGCCCGCACCAACGTCCCTCACAACACACAGTCGTGCACTCTCCACCGTCCTTATCGTGGTCGATCTCTTACGCGGCTGCGAGTCTTATAACACGTTAGTTTTCACTCACTTCCTCTCTTCCTTATTTCCTTTTCCTCTATCAAAAGTCGACGACAGCTTTGTTGCTTTTATTGTTATTATTATTAATGCATTGAATTAGTTTGTCCGACTTTGTATCAAACGTAAATATGTATAATTGTGTAACGACAGCTCTTTCACCGCAGCAGGCATTCTCGAAGTAGGAATGTGAGGGACTCCATCTCCAGCAAGGAGCCGCGCCGGCGCGGGGTTTGTTGTGCCTGGGGCCACATAGTCACGGAGCGTTTAGTCAATCCCGATGCTGTCATGCAACAATTGCACGACCTCTTCCTCAAGAAGACTGGCACTCCCGTAAGGAGAGTTTATCTTATTAACTGACGTTTTGATTTATTCGTGCTAATCTACTTACTTTACAGGCATTGAATGTTCCCCCTGTGCCAGAATATGCTAAACCTACTTTAAAGAAGCTGATCACGTTTCCGATGTGTAGATTCTCAGAGCATTAATTTTGCTCTTCGTAACACGAGAATCCAGTAATCTCCATCCTCCATTGCAGAACATTTGGAGGGGGTATTTTTTCGTGTCATGATTTTCTTAGTTGTCCCTTGTATCATCGGGTCTCTTAAAGCCATATCGTCATCTTCATGTGGTTGAGCGTTTTTCGCTCCAATAAAGACGTAAATGTTTCTGATAGAGTGTTACCGGAAATATCGTTTGTTGATTTATGGAATCTAGTCACCGTTCAATTGAAGAGCTCTCTCTAACCATTTGTGTGCATCGGACGACAGATTGGGATTCCTTCTAAACCTTGTGTGCATTTGATTACGCAAAATCTGTTTTTTGCAAACTTTTTTTACTCTGATAAATAAATCACTCCTTATTGTGAGATTG